ATGAATTGATTGATTATATGAAAAAATTATATGTCATATTCATTTGAGACACTTCAGAAGTAACGATTTTAAATCACAACTGATACTTAGAATATCTGAATATTCATGTTCAACGGAAATAGTTATACGTTCAGTTTTTTTTTATTTTTAGTTATATTCTGTGACAAATAGAATCCGTGTATTTTATCTGCTTCCTTTGTATTTTTAGTTCATTCATTTCTGTATCCCCCGAATTTCCCACTGACTTGATAAGTGTTAAACGAAGCAGAAGATAATTATGATAATTTTAACGCAATTAGTCCAATGTGGACAGACCATTAACTTAGTTATTTATACTTATTGCCCTGTGCAATACAAACTGGATTTGGTAGGGTGCCTTTTTAACGGACCTGTTCATATTCGCACAAATGACGCTATTGATGATGATGTTAGGCTGTTGAAAAAACATTTTTGGAGAATCGCTATCCCCTTAAATTCATAAATAGATAGAAAGTTCATAGTACAATGAAACCGACTACTGATTTGGCAGAAAAAAGCCTGTCTAAAAGACCTTACTATTTAGAGATGATTCAAATAACCTTTTATTGAAACAAACGTTTAAATCGGTCATTAACAAGGCATATTGCACAGCAAAGGTCATTATCAAGGAAAGAATAAGGTTCATGCTTCATCGAAAACTTAAAAGACAAGAAAGAGATTGCGTCGCCTTAACCATATGAAAATTTAAATACCCTTCGTGTACTGAAAAACGGACGATATACTTACACAGCTCATTTCCTTCGAGCTAAATTGACTAACAAAGCCATAAGTTGATCTAATAACTATCCGTTTGCTCAAAAAGTTCAAAGCCTATATTAACTTCCATCATAAATTATTAAGTTTATTAACTATTTAATTAACAGTTTAAAAAATTTAGCGATTCATTTTTCTCATGAAAATTTATTATTTTTCAGTATACTATCAAAATGCTTTATAAGTAGTTTATCACATTAAATAAAATTAGTAGATGGCCACTCACAATGTTCATTCATTCAAAATATTTCAATAATGGAAAGATTATCATTTTAGTAAAAAGTACTTCGGCTAACTAAACAAAAATACTCCACTTTTAACTCAAAAGAGGTCAAAAATACTTTTTAATAAAGTCTTCGACGGCATATTTATAAACGGAATGCAAATATTTTCATTTTATTTAGTCGCTATTATTATGTTGTTGCAGTCTGCTTTTGCAAGTAAATTTGATCAAAAAATATGCTCACTGATTGTACAACTAGCACTTCTTACGCTGATCAGACCCTAATTTAAAATACCTCTTTCTACTTTTACTTGCAAGGATCTTGTAAATGGAATTACAAGCTCAGTGATGTTAAGGGTGTTGAAAGGCATGATTTGAATAGTGAAACTTGGGACGCTAGGTTAGTTGAAGTTCTGAACTTAATGAGTCCAGAGCAAAAGTTACTATAAGTTTAGCAGGCAGTGATAAATGGTGATGGATATAAATATTTTTTAAGCAATGAGTTCAAAGTTTTATTAAAGTCCTTATTTTTGAATGTACTACATACTCAAAACGTATCATTTCGATATGTCCAATAATTCGAATAAACTGAAGCTATCCAAACATTGATAATGTGTTTCAATATTCCTACGTTTCGTGGAAACTAAAAGCTATCGGAATAGCCGACATATTTTTATTTGGTTAAAGTGGTTCAGAACAACAATCTCCACAACCCCCATACTGATAATTAACATGTGCTCACTAGTGACTAGCTTCGTGAGGGAATTCTTGGAGTTCTAGTGAGAAGTCGTGACCAGTGGAGCTAATCCGTGTCGGGTAGAGACAGGTATCTACCTCAGTACAATGGAAGTTGGTCGCGCAATTTCGTGGATTGGTTGATGTTAGACACTAACACCATTGGATGCCGGCTCAGTGGTCTAAGTGCTCAGGCTTAACACTCTCCACAACCCCCATACTGATAATATCATATCAGTTCACTTCAAACTCTGATATTCAATTAGTTGATTTTAGGGGATATGAATAACAGCAAATACTTCCCTTAGGTTTTATTATGGTCGGTAATTATCAACCAGGTGTATTTAGGTAGTGTAATTTCCAAACTTCATAAACAAAATGAATGTTCATAGTGAATTTCTGATATTCAGCACAATAATAATCAGATAGGGGTTTTGTGTATAGTATAGTAATTTTTTTAAATAGTTGGATTCATAAGTCGATTGAGGCAATCGCGCGCTAGATAGGTAGGTCTTGGGTTCACATCTCGCGACGCGGGATGGATTGAAGGCTATAATTATCTATCAGTCAGCTCTCTCGGAATTCAGAGTACTTCATAGACTGGACGGCCGTTTCGTCCTATTGTGGGGCTCCTCAGAAGTGCGCGTCCACGATCACGTTCGCAGGATCCGAACCAAGGGCCTTCGGTCTTGCGCACGAACGTCTAATCTCTAGACAACTGAGCCTGAATCCTACAGTGTTTGTGTCTAACTCCAACCAATCCACGAAATTGCGCGACCATATTCCATTTTACTGAGGCAGATATTTGTCTCTACTCGACACGGGTTAGCGCATGTTAATTATCAGTATGGGGTCATGATCTCAACCAAAACTTAGTAATCTCCACAACCCCATACTGACATCTTAAAACGACTTATAAATTCAGAGAACGTTTACTGACAACAAAAATTTGTTTCTTGTTATTACTATCAGTCACTTGTTATCGACCAATAGCATCTGAAAATATAAAGATAACCAGTAGATTGCTTAATAATCAAGCATATCAAATAGATAAGTTAAGTTCCACAGAATATTTAGTTGCGATTCATTCATTCAACTATTTGAATACATATATTTCAGGGAAAGATTAAGTACCACACACAAACAAATGCTAAACATCTGGTTTTAAATCTTTGAATTAAGCTTTACATTACTTACAGTCCATTGTAACTGGTATGTCATTTGAATTTCATCCTATTTTGCTGATTATTACTAAATTTCTGGTGGAATTTCTTAAAATGATTGAGTCTAAATGCTTTTTGGTCCTGCTTACTCGTTTATATAAAAAGAATCATCCTACTACCTTCTCAAATTAACAAAGACTTCCTAGAGTTCACAAAAAGTCTAACATTTTGACTTCACTAATAACTAGGGGTAATAGTCTTTAATTTTAAACATTTTTCATAGATATGAATTGTATACTTAACAAGATGTTTAAAGAAACATTTCAACTCAAAAAACCTGCATAAAGGATTCATATGCATCTAACCTGTTCGTACTGAAAGTATCAAAATTAAGATCAATCAGGGAGAGAGAGAAAGATTTAGATAATTTAATGACCGTTGTCAAAATCACCTATTTTAATGTGACCATCATATGTTTAATTTTATTTACATGAGGAATAAACTGTTCATTAAATGGAAAAAGCCATATTGAGATTCCAACCCATTCACTTCGAGATCTGTTTATCTTAAGCTTAGTTTGTGTCATCGTTGTGAGTGGCCTTTATAGTATCAAAATAAAACGAACTAGTTTAGTCTTCAAAGTCTTCCCAGCTGATATTAGTTCATGAGGAAAATGTTATTTTCCAAAATGAAATGAATCTCTTCAAACCTCTTAGTCAGACATAAAACAAGATCCATTTATATTGGTTATTTAGACGAACAATACTAGATTCGAGTCCCGGGGCGAATGTCATCTCTGGGACACAGGAGCGACCATTTGAAGAGTACTAGGCAAGATGAAACGCATATCCTGGATCCCGCTTTTAGGGTGCTTAAATTTCTATCTGACAAGATGGACTCCCGTTAAGTCTACGCAAGCGATTACACAAACTTCTGTTAAAACGGTATAAACTATTATCTCTGAAACCAGTGCAAGCAATTGGTTGATTGGTTGATTTTTTTTTAAAAACGTTATAATGCTAGAGAACTTCTTGAAATCTGACATTCTAGTTTTGTTGGAGACGTTAGTTCCCCAGAACTCAGTTGGGAAAGCACCTAATTTGTAATTTTATTTAGAAAATTTGAATTTCTTTGTTTTCGCGCCAAAGGCGCTCTTGTCGCCATCATGTCGTATTTCCCACTGGGAAATATCTTAAATGCTATTGATCCGTTGCATCGTTTAATATGCTATTTGGTAACTCTCCCCAAGGACAGTTTTTACATTGTATATATATATTTGAATTGTGTTTGTTGTTATCGCTCGTTTCTGTCTGTTTTGCAGAATATACTTCTCCCTCTAGTTAGCGAGGCTGGGACGCATCAATAGCTAGCTTACTGATCTTTAGTCGCCGAGTCTTTGTTTTTGTTCGCCAAATAAGTGAACTTGTGATAGCTTCAAACCTAGCAAGTCTAACATCAATAGATTCATTGATATGGATCCTATCAACCAAACTATTACAGGAACAAGTCAACTAGAGAATCAATAAATCTAACAAAATTATCATTCATAGAAAACCTTCAATGAGAACAATCTAATATAAAGCTTATAAATCAACTGAGCAGCTCATTTCTACATAAAGTAATCGTTAATGATACTATCCGGAATAGAAAATAATAAAAAAATTAAACACATGTCATTAAATCATTTCACCCAAGAAACACATGATATGATACTAAAGCCTGTTGTTTTAAAAATTGAAAAAAAAATTTCATTTTGTTGTTGTCGTTCTTGTTGCTATGACTATTTCTTTATTTGAAACAAAAGTTAATTTATAAAAATATTTTTACATATCTTTGAGAATAAATTCAATGAATTCATTATATATGAAATAGTAACATGTCTCTATGTTACAACTTCTCTCTTTTCTTTTTCTTTTTTCTTGTTTTGTTTTTTAAGAAAAAGAATTTAACATGAACAAACAAACCTTAGATAACTTGTTCATTTATAAAGTGTAATAGATATACGTATCATGTTGCCATGTAAACTGTCTTTTTTTGTTCGTTTTTTTATAAAAAAAACGAAAAGAGAAAAAAACAAGAAATGAACCTGAGAAATTACTTTGTAATAAAGCAAACAATTAAATAGTAAACTTAAAATGATTTTATGAAGTGAACATGAGTTTTTCCTTTTTGTACAATTGAATAGTACATTTATGAAAAATAATGCAAAATAAAGGAAGAAAAAAGAAAAAGACGAAGAAGAAAGAAAGAAATTAGTATGAGGCATTTGATTCTTTATGCAGATATGAATTGTAATGGTAATTTCACTTTCATACAACCTACAAGATCTTTGTTTTCCATTTCTAGTTTGATTGTAATATGAACATCAAGTTTCTGTGAGGGAAAATTTACAACAACAAGAAAAAAAACAAGTTGGTTAGATGACTGAAAAATATGTTGATGATGATGATGATGATGATGATGATGATGATGATGATGATGATGATGATGATGATGATGATGATGATGATGATGATGATGATGATGATGATGATGATGATGATGATGATGATGATGATGATGATGATGATGATGATGATGATGATGATGATGATGATGATGATGATGATGATGATGATGATGATGATGATGATGATGATGATGATGATGATGATGATGATGATGATGATGATGATGATGATGATGATGATGATGATGATGATGATGATGATGATGATGATGATGATGATGATGATGATGATGATGATGATGATGATGATGATGATGATGATGATGATGATGATGATGATGATGATGATGATGATGATGATGATGATGATGATGATGATGATGATGATGATGATGATGATGATGATGATGATGATGATGATGATGATGATGATGATGATGATGATGATGATGATCAAATTGTAAAGTAAAAACCTTTGTCTTAAAGTACAAAATACTACTATAGATACTGAGAAATTCATTTGTTAGGATAGGCTTCTTCTTAATAAGTTAGATAACTAGTATAAACAGATATTTGAATCCCTCGTGTAAGATCGTGCATACGCACTACTGAGGAGCTTCATACTAGGATGAAACAGCCGTTCTGTGTTTACAGGTTTCTGTGGTGGTCTCACTTAAATTTAGTCGTGATCTTTATTTTCCAACCCAATAAATGACATATTTGATAAAAACATTCTAACAGAAAAGAGATAAGTAAATATATTTTCATTAAAACACCCTCCAAGATGACCTCTCTATCGCCTAACATATAACTAATGACAAAACATTTTATCATAATGATCGAAGAACTTCTGATAAAGATACCATTTAGAGAATTCTGGTCAAAACGTCTGAGTGGTAATATATCTGACTGTTATAATACGCAATATGAGTTTGGATCTACAAGTGTCTTGAGTATCAGTCTCCTTCAAGATATCGGATGTGTCTCGTTGAAGAGAATCAACATGTATGAGACTTATATCCACGACTTCATACAAACCCTCATCAACCATGTAACATCAGAAATAATTCACTATGTCTGTCCACTTAAGGAATTGGTTTTTACTCAGTGACCACTTACGGCGAACATTTGATGTTCATCCAGAATATTCTTTCCGAATTCTTATTGTGACATTCTTTAAACTGAACAATATAATTCAATCTTTATTTCCCTGTGCCACTAAAATTAGTTACGTTCATGATCTCTCTGCTCACTAGTTTGTGCTTAATATACAGAGATACGAATTGTCTTTATCTAGTTTAAGGCCTTATAGAAATAGGTTACTTAATCCAACCTTAAAATCTTCAACGCGCAAGTTCAATGTATGTCTGAAACGGCTTTGGTGTCATAGAGAAGAAATCTATCCTACCTCTGAACTTTGATATGTTAGGTTGACAAACAGAAAGAAAGAAAGAAGACAATTTTAGCCGGAATTGTTATTATTGATTGACCTTTAGCTCAAAAATGAACGTGAGCAAATACATTGCCAACAAGATCACGATGTACAAGAAATAAAATAAAACACAACTATATCCAAACTAGGACATTAGAGTAGATAAATGAAATACGGAGGTCATGTTTATATTACGGTTATTTTGAAATAGAGAAGACTATGACAGTAATTTGAACATTAAACAAAAGCTTATAATTCATAGAATAACCAAGGCACAGAAATAAATGTTGTTACTTTATAGGCTTCGAATTAAGTTAGATAATATTCAGAAAACTAGTTCCCGTTGTTTGTCGTTGTTTCTTCATTTCTCTATACACAACAAAATGTATATCGTATATTAAATATCTTCATTTTTTTGTTGGATCTAACTGCTAAGATTTTATACATTTTAGCGTAAATTTGAAACAATCTGTGATACATCGGTGAAATAGTCTATATCTAAGCAAAGATATGTAGTGGCTAGCAGTGGAATCTAAGACGCGCGTTTCGTCTTGTTTGGAACTCGTCAGATCTTTACTTATGAATTAAGGTAATATTGAGACAGTCCGCACAGGATGCATATATACCAATAAGAGACTGATCAATGGCAGTCTTAAATAACAATATGCCGATTCAAGGAAACAATACCAAGTGAATTTAGTCTATTTTTAATGCTATTAGAAATGTGATGAGAGTTCCATCTCGGAAGTATATTTTATTTACTATTCTTTTAAATTTGATATAGTCACACTTGTAACAGAATTATTTTCTGATCATTAATTTTTAATGATAAATGATTTATGGAGCATGAATTTTAGATCTAAAATTGCGATAAGCTACACTTTCATATTATGGAGATATTAAGTGGTTGAAGACGGTCATCAGGAAACCATCGGCCTAAGCACTTACTACCGTAACGTATCCATAATCTTCGTTATAGGGTTCAAACCCATATCATCTAGTTCTACTATTTGAAAGTCACCATTGAGCTATTTAAATAGCAACTGATTCCTTGTATAACTAGAACTTTTTCGATAGGTTTGGGTTAGCACTCAGGGACTAAACAAACATGAAATTGTTCTCTGCTCAGGAACCAACTAATACTAACTCTTATATTACATTTGAACGGTTATCTGGTCCAACAATAAAGATGTGAATATATGCAAGCACTGTTACATTTCCTATATGAGCCTTCATAACTTGTAATGCGTGTAAGTATTATTTCTCAAAGTAAGTGAGTAACAGGAGGTCTGTTATCACTTAACTTAATCGTTATTTTTCACTGTATTATGTTATTATGCTTATTTATTAGTAGTCATAGTTGATTGAAGCATGTGGTAATTTTTTATTTTAATTCTAAGATCGTTAGTTGAAGGACATTATCCAACAAATAGTAATATGAATCAATTTTCATCTTTAACGATGGTTCAATTCGGTTCTAGATTATTCAAACAGTCGTTGAGATATGTGGCTCATCTCTGATGTAACTCATAAGTTTTACTAAGTACCGTGATTCAATCTCCGTTGAAGTGATCTGACTCTAGGACATCAGAAAATTCAATTAAAAACTTAACGAGCAGTATAACCATTAAACATGTGATATTTTATGATTATGTTACTGTCATAACAGGTCATTCAACTAGCTTTCTAATAAAACCTGAGATACGTTTACTGAGATTATTCGTTATTGAAGGTTATAATTCATAACACGCTGTCGGAATTTCAATGATGTTGAGTTCTCTGAGCTAAACAAATCTTTTAAGGAGGTTCTAATTTACTTCAGGATAATATGTTCAAAGCCTATTACCTGCTGAAGTAAGTAATTAGTTATTTCATAAGTGAGCAGAATTTTTTTCTAACAGACTTGCTTGTGATCGAAAGTCTTTATAAACTCTGGTGTCTTCAATTTTCCTTGTATTCCTGCTACAGTCGATTAAAGAAAAGTAGAAATTCCGAATTAGAAAGACTGAGAAGGCTAGAAAATGTCTAGGAGCACAACATTCAAATCAACTGCAGTCAATAAACACATCCAGATAGATCCAGTCTATTAACTCATATGTAATTTTAACAAGATATAGGCACCTTTGATGTTGTTCATAACGAAAATAAAATGCTTAGTAAATAAACCACCTAGCTAAGAGGATACAGCATCAACGAAAGAATCAGTGAAAATACCTACAATATACTCACCTTATCAGAAAATAAGAAATTAACTAAAAATCGCGGTAATTCAAGTTCATCTAGAATATTGTTAAGATTCAATTTCACACGTTGTCTATAAATACCCGGTGGCATATTACAAAAGCACATTGTGTTTTTCTGGTAAAATCTAGGTCTTTTCAGTGAACATTTTGATTGTGGAACATTTGCTGGCCAGTAATCACACACATTCTGGATAACTCTTTGTAAAAAAATAGATAGAGGGGAAACATCAACTGATATAAATATAGTGAAATGTGAGTGTAAAATAAAATTATCTTTGAAAGAGTAAAGTTGATACACAAGCTTAAATGGAGACTAAAGTGATGAGTATATTGTTTGAAATTGGCTATTATCAGAATAGGGGTTTGTGGAGATTGTAGTGATTTCAATGGTTGAATTAATGAGTATATTTAAGCTAGAACACCATTGAAAACCTGGAAGCACTGGACAGTTGTTTTATCTTAGTATGAGACTCCTCAACACTGAGCATCCACGATTCCGCACAAGGGACTCGAACTGATTAATTAAACCATTAAATCTAGATATATTTGCGAGCTTCGTACTTAAGTTTGAGTTGATATTAAAAATCATGTCAATTACGTCGTTGTGTTAATTGCAAAATGTAACCAATCACTTATGCAATGATGATAATAAGCAAAGATGAATGGTGGCTAGCAGTGGAATTCAGGACGCGCGTTTCGTCCTGTTTGGGACTCGGCAGATCCGAGTGAACAAAACCAGGTGAAATTAATATTAACAATACTAATAAAACAATGTATTGTTGACCTTAAAATGTGTCTTTTAAGCATTCAAATGTAAATTTTAAGGTTTTATGTTTAGTATATTGAAGATCTTAGATATTTTAGTGCCAAAGTGTATCCTCTTGAAAGATTTTTGGAAATTAATTTACACTAACAGTAGTTTATGAAATCAACTGAGGTGGCACTTGGAAGTAGTTATGACTTGATAGCTGATTTCCTATTGTTGAAATTCATAGTAAAATACATCAATGAACCCACAAGAAGTCGAACCTGGTACTTTTGGTCCTTAGAATGAGAGCGTGACCTGATTAATCACTTTTCCGCTTTAACATCAGTTGATAGAAATCAGAAACATGAATCATTGTATTCTGACCTACTGATTTATATGGAGCGCTCCTGTCATCAAACTAGGTCTCGAGTACAATCTCTGGATGATTTGTCAGTGTACACTATTCAAGTGTTCCAAAGTAGAATAATATAGTTGTCCAGCGTTTTTCCTTCACTAATTACCTAACTTATGTCGATCAGTGATAAAGACCATCTCCTACAAAAATATACTCTTTGAATGTAAATACACATAAATTACTTACCCAATGTATAACGGAGGAAATTCCGGATTTATACGTACTTCTAAAATAAGCCGATATTGCTCAGTTAATTCTTTATGTAATTGCATAACATACTGTATACGTGCTTGAACATTTCCTTGTTTTAAAATTAATACAGATGGACGAATAGCAATTTTGTGCACAGTGATTACAGCAACAATATTATTTGTAGAATGATGATTTAATGCAGATTTATTTCTGAAATTCTGATTAGTTACAACTGTGTTGCTAGATATTTTCAATTTTTCATTTGCAATGATCTCATTTTCATGAACCGAGCGTTTTGACCTCAATAGAGAATAATTTTTATTCTGCTCTCTTGTTAACCATGTAAACTTTTTAGGAGATTTGATCCAATTTCTTTTACTTAGAAGCCATTGACTTTTTAAACCAGGTAACTTCTTATAATAACTTTTATATTTTCTTTCACTTTGTCTTGAAAAACGTTTTTTATTATTATGATTGGATAAATTTCTTTCATACCAATGAATTTCTTCTTGAGATAACAAGTCTGGAGCTGGTTTGACTTCATCTATAATACCAAGTTAAATGATAAATTACTGATGTCGATGATTTTACAGAACTCCTTGCAGTTATATAAACAATTGCCGGTCTAATGACAGATATGAAGAATAAAATCTATTTTCCATTATACTGATCAAATCCGTAAGAATATTCCACATCAAACCTTGATTACCTCGAAATAATTTATTTGAACAAGTTACATATTCTACGTGGCTAATAATGAAATTTAAAACATGAATTTCATTCTATCTAGAGTTTGTTAGCTGGATACATATGTATCCCAGAATTTGTGTTTAATCCGGGATTCAAACCAATACGTTTTGCTTCAAACACTAGCGCGTTAGCCATTATGTTCCGTCTAAATTTTTCTCATTTTCTGACTACTTTGGTGTAAAATATTTCGCATCTTTGAACAAGAAGCATAATATGAAACCATTCGTAAAACGTTTATAACAGATGAGTAAAAGTAGTCCATTTTATTATGGCCTATCATTGTGAATATAATAACATGTAACAACTGAATAAATCCAACCCTATATTTGTATACCATTTAATTAATAATAATACTGTGTAATTTATTTTCACAGCATTTAAAAATTTAAGTAACGCATTTGTCGGGTTAAGCAAGAATCCTGCAAGCGGGATCATGGATGAGCACTGCTGAAGAGTCCCACAATAGATAGAAACGGCCGTCCAGTGTTTATAGGTTTTCAATGGTGGCCTAACATCAATCGGTTCATGATCTCAATCTAAAACTTAATAATCTCCACAACCCTATACTGATGCACGTTCTTACTAGTAATGTTTATTTCTGTTATCAAAGGAATTGATAACTATTCATTGATTGATTCATTTTGATGTTGATTGTTTGAATCTTACCAATGATGTTTAGGACTTCAATTGATCAGTCTCTAATTGGCATATATGCATCCTGTGCGAATTGCCGCAATATCACCTTAAGTTGCAAACATTATAAGCAGTGACGGATGGTAGCGCGCAAAGGACTAGAAGACGTGCGATTAGTCCTATTCGGGAATCGTTAGTTGGATGTACCTGCATCTCAGAGTTGATGTTCACTCCGGGACTCAAGCCCATTGAGTAAGCTAGTGTCTATCTAGACTCAGTAACTAAGTGGATAATGTGATGGGGTTTCAAGCAAACGGTATTGGGCTCGAGTTCCAAAGTGAACATCAACTCTAAGATACAGGCAGATTCACGTGATGAGTCCCAAGTACGACAAAACACGCATCCTGAATTCCACTGATAGCCTCCATTCAAACAGTCATTTTTTTCAAACAACAAAGATTCATGAAAAATATATCCTAATAAATGTGAAGATAAATTATTTGCATTTACTTGATCGAGTCAAACCATACGAAATAAAGGGTCCTGAATCGTGATCTAATAGCTTAGATTCAGTTTCTTTATCAATAAAACGATACATTCTCCATATTTTTTTGGCGAAAAGAAATTTTTGTTTAAAATCTTATCTACTAATCTAGTTAGTTGGTACCCATCACACGCGAACTAGGTCTATATATATATATATATATATATATATATATATATATATATATATATATATATATATATATATATATATATATATATATATATATATATAAACATTTGTAGTAAATCTATCTTCAAAATGTCAACCGAATATGAAATAAGTTAATTGACCAAAATATAAATGGCTTATATAGGTATCATTTAAAGTTGACCACCAACAAATCGTGTGAGACCTCCAACGTAGTGAAATCTATAAAAGAACTAATTAAATATTTGTAATATAATACATTTATATGTAAAAGGTGTACGAGGAAGGAAGAGGAGGAGAAGGAGGATGGTGGTGGGGGGAGAGGAGGAAGTTGATAGTTGTGTAAATTAGTAATAAGTAGAAAAACATTTCCAAGCTGTGTTAAATATTGAATGACTTTTGTAATTTCTTCTTCGTATTTCTCTTCTTCTTCTTCTTACTTTCATTTCCATTATTGTTATCAATATCCTCTACCTCACATGATGTAAATTAACGTACAAGTTGAAAAGTAAAAAAAACAACATAAACACTAATGAATAGACAGATAAATAAATAAATATCATCATTTATATTTGGTGTGAATCTCTTATTATAGAGTATAATATCATGTAGGTCTTGGAAATTTATTTAAAATATTATTTACAGTTTTACGGTTAATTTCTATTTATATTAGATTAGATTTATATAGTACATAATTTGTTTATTAAACCAAGCTGAATGTATGAGGCTCCTTGATGTAGTTGAATAAAAGTAGAATGATCCAATTGTACAATTCTTACTAATCATTTACAGAAACAAAATAAAAATGCTTCAAGCAAATAAGATAATGGCTAGCAGTGGAATGCAGTTTGACGCGCGTTTCGTCCTATTTGGGACTCGTCAGTTGGATGTACCTGCATCTCAGAGTTAGTGTTCACTCTGGGACTTGAACCCAGTACCATTCGCTTCAAACGCCATCGCGTTATCCACTCAGCCACTGTGAATTAAGACAATATTGAGACATACGCACAGTATGCATATATGCCAATAAGAGACTGATCAATTTCAGTCCTAAAACATCAATGGGAACGTACAAGCCAAACAATACCAAGTGAAAATAAGATAATGTTTCATACACTAAACCAAAGGTCTTGAGTACTATTCCCGGTTAAAGGTTTATAGATGAACACTATTAAGGACTACTAATATTAGGATCATACATTGATTTTCAATGCTTATTTCACATCGATTGAATCACAATTTTAATAAGAGGAGACTTTTAAAAATTTATGTGTTCAATTTACCTGTTACTCAATTGGAAACAAGCTAAACACATTTTATTCACAATTGATTGTCTAAAGAAAATCTTATAACCTTTTGAGTAATTTAATATTGTGTAGATAAAAGTTTTTCTCTCTTTATTATCACTGTAAACATAGAATTATCTACTCACTTATAAAGATCATTGTTCATTTCAAAATAAGCCTTTAACAATGAAATAACTTCAGCTGATATAGTAACTAGAGTAGGGATGGATAACTAAATTGTTGAAGTGTTATGAATGAAGACAACCATTAAAGCCTAGTAGTCTTTTGATTAGTTTTGATTAATTGTTATTTCATGAATAAAACAGAATTTTACTTGGTTAACCTATTGTTATACTCTATATAATCATAAGTTATTCAGTTTTCTAAACTATCGAGAATCACTGTGCTCAATAAAACATCTTGATAAGTTTTGTCTAAAGTTTTTAGAATATAATAAATACATTCATGACTATCAGGTAAGTTTCAATAGTATTTATGGAGAAACTATAATTTATGAACGGACCAATCAGATTTACGATAATAGGTCTTGAATTTTGGCGCAAAATTAATTCATCTATTTGGCTAAATAGAGTTTAAGTATTATAGCTTATGTCAGTTCGTGATGAAAATCCTAAATCTAATTTCTAACCCTAACCATCAAATGTAAATCATAATTCGAACTCCTCACATTGGTTTATAATCCTGATTTAGCCGTAGTATATACGTCAACATCCTCAAGGAATTTTTAGCGTCGCTCAAAGGTCATCTATAAATTATAGTCTCACCGTATTTATCTCATCTAATGTACAGACAATCATGAAACTTCTTACATTAAATTGTTACAAACTGACTAGTGAATATTAACAATAAGATATCTGAATTACCATTATTCTTATTCATTCTCTAATGATCTAGATTAATGTATTGAAAAGATTTGACACAATTCAATTTAAATCTAAGTAAGCCATAATTAATGGAAACTGATTTCAGAAGGTTCTGTATGATTCTTCATGTTGATTTCATCAAAAAAAAGTAGAAGAAAACGTGTCTATTAAAAACTAGATTAAAATGAGCTATCCCTTTTAAATTTGTTTATATATCTTTGGATAAAACTCTAATTACTTAAACGAAGTTAAATATATAGACAGGTGAGTATTCATGAAGAATTCCATATTGGGACTAAGAAACTGTTTAACGCTTACTTGTTTTATCATTATTAATGATTTTATTCAATATTATCTTTTTGATGCAATATAGAATTTCAATAGTTGAATCCGTGAGTCAATTTTAAGATAGATCACCAGTGAAAACCTGGAAGCAATAGACGACTGTTTCGTCTTAGTATAGGACTCTTCATCAGTCCGTATTCACAATCTCACACACGAAATTCGAACCTAGGACCTTCAGTCTCTTATTTCTTGACTGATCCTGATGATAAATATTGAGTGATCGCCAGTTAAATGTTAGCAGTTCAGGAATTGACATCTCAATGCGTATTGTTAACTACCACGATGTCTCTGGTTCTACACTTTTTGTAACATGTACAGCGAAAGGTCGTAAACGTTTCATAATCACGCCTGAATAAGTTAAAACTAAGGAGAAGATTTAGCAGAAAATTAGATATCATTAAGAAGAACTTAGTACTATACTAGGTACAATCTTAAACATCCAAATTTAGTTCAATTAGGAAATTACAGGTAACAGTGATCAGAGATAGTACGAATGATTACTGTATCCCTTCTCAGCTATTTTCGGCATTTTAAAACTAATCTCTGTTCAAATAAATAGTTCGAACTGGAGTTCGCAGTGATTTTATTATTGCAAAACAGTCTATATTACCTTATATCATTAACTGAAAAATTTTAATTACATGGAGTTATATGAATTTTCTTGTTTAATCACAAGTCTTTCTAAATAGTACGGTAGCTAAAGATGAGACAAACTCTCTAGCAGTTCTACCGTTATTTTATTACCTTAAAGTTAGTTGTTGTGTAGTCTACTTATTTCCCGATTAAATTTTAAATAAAATCTGATCTTTACGAATGAAATGAGTTAAAAAATCAAGTTGAGCTTTTTTTTATTTCGGCGCTACCATAGTTCAAAATTATCACATTAAGTATAAAATGATGTAATTTTCATTACTGAAACAGTCTAGTCAGATCCGAATTACTAGCGTATATA